ACCCTCCCAGGGCCCCTGGTGAGTTCTGACCCACTTTCAGCAGCTCCAGAGACAGTGCTGCACTAATAAAGCCATTACCCGCAGGAGCACAGGGTCTCCACTCATCTGGCTCAAGCGTGTCAGACACACCACTGCCAACAGATTTCCTCAGAGCTGTAATTCTCGAAGTGTGAGGAAGAGCAGGAGCAGGAGGCAGGAGCTATGTAGCACAAAGCCCAGGGAAGTCAGGTGGGCTGGGGGAAGACTGCAGCAGCAAGGAGTGGACAGGACCGAACAAGGACCAGAACCAGGTGGTTATTCAAAGGGGACACTGACAACCAGGGAGAGGCAGCAAATTCACAATGAGCTCAGTGCTGGGAGAGGAACCATAGGCTGGGCGATGGCTTGGTAGAGGCTCAAGGTCACAGAGCTAAGCTGAGCTGGGGCATGAACCCAGCCCTGCCAGACTTCGAAGTTCACGTTCTAAGTCGCATGCTACACTGCAGGGACTTTTCCTACAATACCTACAATACCAAAGATACAAAAGTTTGAGGAGATTGCAGGATGTGAGGAAGACCTGGGAAATGCACTAAAATCTAGGCTAACCTGACTCTCTTATCCGACATGATCCATGAAGTCTCTGAGTGTGGAGGTGAGCACCAGGCATCTTACGTTTTTATGCCTGCAGTACTCTTCCCCCCTGACTGGAAAGCTCATTATCTCTACAGTCTTATTCTGTGGCCACTGGTCAATACCTCTATTATGCAGGTGATGGCTATTTTGTTGCCTCTCCTACATTGAGCCCAGCAAGGACAGAGACCATTTTGGCATCTCTGCATCTCCAAGGCTTAGTGCTTTAGGGACTATTCACGGTCAGGGGATAGCTTGAGAAGCAGACACTGGAAGGGGTCTTAGGGCACAGAAAGAAAAAGCAGACCTCTCTGGATTCAATCTGGTCGCGTGGAGAGCAGCAAGACCATATGTGTCTTGCCACAAGTGCTCTCCCCTTGTGGACACCACTAAGGGGCTGGCCCTGGGACTCACGGGGCTGCAGGAGAGGGAAGGCAAGTGAACTGCTGCAGGTGGACTGACGAAAAGAAGACCTCTAGGATGCTGTGGGACCATGTAGTTGGTGGGGTGAGCTTGGCCTGATCCACGGGGAGCATTAGGGAGCACTTTTTGGAGGTGGTGACATGAAAATAAGAGGAGAGGGAAAGCGGACAAGTGTTTCTGGCAGAGAGGACAGCATGTGCAAACCTGGAAAGACTCTTCCCTCAGGGGCTAAAAGAAGCCAGTGTGGCTGGAGGAGAGGCTGGTCATCCACAAGAACAAGGCTGGGACATGGCAGCTGGTGGGCCACATAAGGGTCCTGGACTAAAGTCAGTGGTGGGCGCCTGGCTTGTGTGGCTCAGTGGTTGAGCACATGCCCGGGTTGTGGGCTGGATCCCCATTGTGGGGTGTGTAGGAAGCAGTCAATCAATGATTCTCTCTCATCATTGATGTTTCTATCTCTCTCTACCTCTCCCTTCCTCTCTGAAATCAATCAATAAATAAAGTCATTGGCGGGTTTTAGGGAAGGGAATGACTATGAAGACCTTGCTCCGTGATTTGAGTATTGCTATCTGTGAGGTCCTATTCAAGTGCTTTACATTCACTGTTTCCAGTTAACCCTCAATGCGCCCACATTCAGACAGATTCTCTGAGATGACAGTGGCCTGGACTAGGCTAAGAGAGGGAGGCAAGAAGAACTGGAGAGTGTCACCAGGGACAGAGATTTAAGAATTGATGGGATATGGCAATGGGCGTGGGGGGAGAAAAGCACCCAATTTTTGAGTTTGAGCATCTAGGTAAGTGGTGGAGGGTCTGGCAGCACTGTAGGCTGTGGCCAGTTTGGCCAGCTTGAGTTTGAGATGGCTGCCCAGAGGGATACTTGCAAAAGGTGATGCAGATGCAGATCACCAAGAGGCCTGGCCTGGGTAACCGGGCAGTGGGCTAATGAGTGAATGATGAATGAGATGAGGAGCAATGGGGAGCCCTGGACCCCCATGTGAAGGGGCTGAAAGGCCAGAAACCACACCTGGCTAAAGAAGAGGATGGTAGGAAGCCCATGAGACCAACCAGTTGAGCAACTGGGGAGGCTGGAATCCTGAGAGGAAGCCCTGCCCTTCTACTTTTGTGCCTGGAACGTTATTAGTGTTCACTCCCTTGAGCTAGCAAGCTAGTAAGTAGCCTAGTTCTTAATTATTATCACAAAAATCAGTCTGGCATTTCAGTTAAGAGGACACTTTCTCACAGTGATCATATTTGAACCTCGCCACAATGCTGAAATAGGAGTTAACTCCACTGTCAGAACTGAGGACACTTGCTCAAGGCCACCGAGCCTTGCGAGAAAGGCTGAGCAAGCGGGGCCTAGATCCAGGGCTTCTATCTACTCAGAACTCCTCCTCACACACACAAGACTCCTTTCTAGAGAAACAAACGTCCTTAGCAGTGTCAACATATCGAACCCCTACAGTTGCACCTTACTTGATGAGTAAGCAGTTTATCAGATCTAGTTTGTACCCACATAAGGAGAAAGATGTGCCAGAAGGGAGAATAAGTGTGGCTTGGGGTAGGGCCTACCTGAGACCTCTGCATATAATAAATTAAGAAGGAAGCCTGCAGGTTCCTTTGGCCACTCACTCTGCCCAGGTAGTCTGGGACTTGAGACCAGGCAGCAGGGCCCCCCAACCTGTTCCTTCTCCAGGCTCCTGGGGCACAACAAACACTGGCCTGCTGTCGTTCCTAACACGCCCTTGTAGAAACACCTGCATAGAGAAGACCTGACACCACTCTCATTCACTCAAATCGTCATGGAACATCTGCTTTGTGATTAGGGGCTGGATGTATAAGATAAAAGAAGCACAACCTCTACCTTTACATACCACCTGCTACCAGGAAAACAGTGCAGGATCATAAGGGAGCACACAGCTGCCTAGGAGGTGCGCTGGGCCTCTCTGAGAGACCTCAGGGCTGGATGGGAAACGTCAGACCTGGGGGTGGAGGAAGAGAGGAGGGAGACAGGAGGTTTCTCAGGTATTCACTGGCTCGGCCTTTCTAGCTCGAGGTTCTGTGCAAGGGATGCACAGGCGGCGGCTCCCCATCCTCCTGGAGCTCGGTCTACTGGAGACGGGGAAGCAGATCTCTAAACCAGTGACCACAGTTCAGTGGAAAATTCCATGATAACTATGCCTAGGAGTCAATGGGAATGTGGATACAGGTATGTGACCCTCCAGGTGTGGGGAGAGGACATCAGGGAAGTCCTCCTGGAATGGACACTGAGCCAAATCCTGAAGGCAGTGTGTCAGCAGGCAGAGGGAACAGACAGGGAAAACAAGGCTGAAGCCAGTGGCAAGGAACTGCTGATGCCTTTGGACTTGTACAGACAAAACACAGTAGACAGATGGATCCAGCCAGTAAGACTGGGGCCTCTTCCATGGTAGCCGGCGACAGAGAGGAGCACAATGGAAGTAATTTTGAAGTTTTTATAATCAAATGAGGTCAGGCAGCTCTGCACTTCCTCTGGCAGAACACACATTTAAAAGGAAAAATGAAAAAAATTACTAAAGCCCAGAGCTGGAAAGCAGACACAACGAGGTCCTCTGGAAACAGAACCCCCTGGTGGACACAAATGTTTGAGTCACGTTCAGAAAGCTTAGATTTTCTGGGCCAAGAGCAAATCAGGAGAGAGAGTAAGGAGATGAGCAGCTCCTCCTTCCCTAGGCAGTGCAGGTCAGAGGGCACCAGCCAGCCTTCAGGTATCTGCACGAGGGACTGGCACCAAGCGTCCCCTTGGCCCCTTCCCTTACTCTGCCCTGCTCGAGTCAGGCCCTCACCTGATACTGGCTCCAGTCAATGTTCAGAGAGCAAGTCAGGAACTCGGGGATGCTCAATGGGGCATCGACGTAGTCCTGGGGACAGAAAAAGACACGTGAGATTTGGACTGGCCATCAGGAGAAGCCCTGGGACAGGGCAAGTTGTGGCCCTGAAGCTGTGGCTACCACAGGCAGCCAGGATGTCCCTCCGTAGTGCTTGCCCGCTCTGAGCCAGATGCCTGTGCTACCCTAGAAGTAAGAGCTTCAAGTGAAAGGGACCGGATATTGCAGCTGAGTGGAGCTTTTTGGTTGGCGGCTCGACTGTTTACCGCTGAGACAGATGTGATCGACCTGTGTTCAGCCTCCAGCAGGCTCTTGTGGCCTGCTCCCACCGACTGGGGAAGGAACAGATGCTGGTCCCACTCTTGACACAGATGGCGGAGCAAAGAGGAAGGACTTTTCCTATTTTGTCCCTGAAAACACCTTTACAGAAAGGGAGAAATTAAAGGGGAAAAGGAAAGTATAAATGATGTGAATGTAAACATGTACATACAAGAAGGAGAGAAAAAAATGAGACTCATTTAGGGAAGAGAAGAAAATGACTTGTTTTCTCCAAAAAGATAGTTAGTTGTTCTCCATAGTTTCCCTGTACAAAGAAACATAAGACCCAAGTTGAAGGTGAATGGTGGAGCGCTCACGCAAGGGTCTGGAGGAGGCGCACAGCCCAGACCCGGTTGGGGTGATGGCAGCAATCCTGGAGCCGTGGGGTGAGAGGTGCTCTTTGCCCTGGAGGCGATGTTTGGGGTGGTCACTCTTCCCACCTGTCCTTGTCCTCAGGGATCCAGGATTCTGAAGATGGTCTCCCTGTCCAGCCACGTGAGGACACCACACGTCCTTTGCTGCCCAGCCAGATTCCCCATGGAAATGCATTCAAGGGAAATTAAAGCGGAGGATACAAAAAACACTTCATTTGAGTTTCTGTTACCAGACGGTGGCTCCAACAGGTGTTGCCTTAGCCTTGCCCTGTGGGGTCCCTGCCGAGTGCTGTCTCCAACCGTGGGCTGGCTGACCTGTAGCAAAGGAGCCGCTGGGTGATCTGACCTACCCTAGCACATAGAATCTGTGTCCCTGGGAAATTGTTCGTCTTTGTGGTTAACACCCTGAAAAATGGATTTGGATCAGTTGGACCCGAATCCCAGAATTATCGCTGCAATGAAGAAAGCCAAACTGAAATCCACGAAGGAGGTTTTGCACTTTTCTGGACCAGACCTGCAGTGGCTGACCCGCCTCTCGGCCCGACGTGCAGCACCTGCTGAGGACCGTCCACTCGCACCTGCGGAGAGGCAGCCTCTGCACAGCATGGGACCTGCACCGGCAGAAGGGGCGCTGCCCTGAGCAGCACCAGCACCTGAGCCTGGGCTGCCCGGTGCTGGACGGGCTGCTCTGCGGGGGCCTGCCCCTGGGCCGCATCACTGAGCTGGCTGGCAGCAGCTTGGCAGGGAAGACCCAGCTGGTGCTGAAGCTCTGCCTGGCCGTGCAGCTCCAGCGGCAGCTGGGAGGCCTGATGGCCAGGGCCGTGTATGTGTGCACAGAGGATGCGTTCCCTGACAGGCTCCTGCAGCAGCTCATCGCGCAGAAGCGGTGTCTGCGGACAGATGCTCCGGGCAACGTGGTGGAGATAAACTTTGGTGACCACATCTTCATGAAGCACATGACTGACGTGGGCGCGCTGCTGGAGTGCGTGTGGAGGAAGGTGCCCCTGCTGCTGTCGCAGGGGAAAGCGTGCCTGGTGGTCATCGACTCAGTGGTGGCCCTGTTCCGCTGCGAGTTTGAGGGGCCCGGGCTCTGCAGGCGCTGGGGGCCACGCTGCACAGGCTGAGCTGCACCTTCCAGAGCCCTATGCTCTGTCAACCAGGTGACGGAGGCCGTGGAGGTACGTGGAACGCCTAGGGCCCCGTGGGAGCGCCTGGCTCCGGCCCTCGGCATCACCTGGTCTGACCAGCTGCTCATGAGGCTGGTGGCCAACTGGCAGCAGCCCGAGGGGCTGCACCCTGAGGGTGGTCTTCGCCCCTCACCTGCCCCCCCTCCTCCTGTTCCTACACAGTCAGCACAGAGGGCGTGCGAGGAGAATGGCTGGGACCCAGTCCTGCTGACCAGGAAAGCCGCCTCCTCGGCCTCCCAGGTCCTGAGGTCAGCTCGGGCCCCTTGGGGCCAGCGCCTTCCTTGCCCCAGTGGCCAGGAGCACGGCCCACTGTGTGAGCCAGGAGGGAGGCCCTGCACGAGGAGCAGCTCTTGCCCGCCCCATTCCGAAGCGGGGGTTTAGAAAGGGTCTTTTACTTTTGTGTTGTCTCTGCCACCAGCCCCTGCTGGGTCGACTGCCAGGCGTCTTGCGAGAGGTCGGCCCATCTGCCAGGAAAACCGTCCCGGGCACAGGAGACTCCCTTAGAGGCAGGCCCTGCCCATCCTGGGTGCTGGCGGGACCCGGCAGGATGCCTGGCAGGGCCACACAGGCCCAGCTCCTCGCCGTGGCCAGGGCCTTGCTTCCCGTGAAAGCAGGGCCCATGTCAGCACAGGTCCTGCCCCTCTGATCAGCTGGTGGTGGGACGCAGGGCCCAGGGGCCACCGGGGGCTGTGGCTGCCCAGCCCAAGGGCATGGCCTCCATCTGGGCAGAGCCGAGTCTGTCTCCACCCCGTCTGCTCCATGCCAAGGCACCTCATGTGCTGCCTGGCGTGTGAGTGGGCACAGCTATGCCCTGGGACCTGTCCCTGTGACTCGCTCTTGGCCGGCCAGGTTCTGAGTGAGTGACCCTTGCTCCTGTTCCCGTCCCAGCCCTGGAGGCGGCGCCTGTACCTCCAGAGAAAGGGGGCCACCGAACAGCCAGGGACCTGCCACCCCTCCCCCTCAGCACCCCAACCCCAGCCGCTGCCAATTCTGGGGGGGCAAGGGGGCGGCCACCCCTGGGACAGGACCACGCTGTTTGGACACCTTTCTGTGGCAGGAAGACCCATTTTAAATGTCATCACATTCCCTACGTGTCCTGTGCCCTGCGAGGTGGGGGGCAGGTGTGGAAGAGAAGGCGCCCACAGGGCTGGCGCCGCATCAGGAGAACTTTCCACAGAGGTGCAGGCTTCACAGCGGGAAGCGAGGCTTTATTTTTGTATGAATAACAACAATTGCAAATGCGGGGGAGGGAGGAAGACCCAAGTTGACAAATATTGTTCATACCTGCTTCCAGTTAAAAATGAGCCCTTCAGCCATGTAATCCCGATCCTTATATTCCTTGAAAAATTCACAGCCTGGAAAAGAAGGGCAGAGTTACGACACCACTCTTTCTAGCCCAGTCTCCTGAGATGCCCCAAGTGCTGCAGGAATGAGGGGGCCACCAGCTTCTCCACATGGTAGGCCCCAGGTGAAGCCACAGTTGACCTGGGGGTGGGGGTAGGGGGAGGGAACTGGAATGGGCAGGCGAGAGACAGGGAGCAAGCCTCCGAGCTAGTCTGGTTTCCAGTTACATGCCTTCCCAAGGATGTATGACCTGCCTGCATACCTCTCTGTATCTCTCTCCATCTGTACTCACTGATGGAGTTATTGGTTACAACTTTCTCGTTTCAGGTCCCTTGTCCTACATGCCCCTGAAGTGTCAACAGCCAGCAAACAAAAGCATGGTTTACAATTTGAGTCCTGTCAGCACTATCTCAGCAATTTATGTAGTTACAGATCACTCTCCCTCCGCTCTGACACCAACCTCGCAGGCTTTCAGTGAGGGCTAAACACTAATGTACTGGAAAGGGCACAGACAGTGCCTGAAATGTGACAGGTGGTCGAGAGACAAGTCCAGCTCCAACAAACCTGGCCAAGATGTGCTTTCTGTATCATTTGCTAGAAAAAATGATAAGAAACTCCACTAGGGCAAATCCTCAGGAATATAGAGAGGAAAAGTTGAGAGAAAGGGCTTAGGCAACATTCCCAGCTTCAAATCTCAGCTTTTGGCTTAGCTCTGGGACGGCGAACAAGTTGTTTAAATTCTCTAAGCCTTGATTTTCTCATTTGTAACATGGTTAAGGATAAAGCGAAATAACACATATAAAACACCTAGCACAGCTCTGGTACAAGTGGCATTCAAATGGCAGCACATTAACATCATGCCGCTGCTGCAACAAGAGCCCACAGTGCCAGCCCCAGCTTACAGTCAGCTGCCTGACTCACGAAAGATGCGGCTTGCTCTCACCCCATAACACAGGGACATCCTTGGGCTGCTGTGGCTTCGAGCCACAAGAATGGGAGAAGGCATCTTGAGAGTAGCTTCCTGAAGTTACTCTCAGTTCCTCAAGCAGGGCCAACACAAACTTTGGAGGGCACATGGCTTTGGCCACAGGTCTGTTTGGTGAGGTCCCCAAAGGCAAAATAGTTGTTCAAATTCTGTGGAAGTGGCTACAAGCCAAAAACATTAACATGGAACTCTCCAGTTACTCTTGGGCCAAATTCCTGTCAGAGGTCACCCAGGGAAGAAAGAAAAGGCTCCTTTGGAAATGAAGGTCACATGTTTATAGACTTGGCTCTCATCCCATACACACTTTGCACTCTAATCCCCCAAACCTCACTGACTCAGAAGTCAGGAAACAAGCCCCAGCTCTAATACTCCAGCCTATTCCTGGGAACCTCACTGGGAGAAAGAAGAAATGCAAAGATCAGACAGTGGCCCTGAGCTTATGAGCCCCGGTTTAGAAGACATAATTCTCTCTCAGTGAAGGGTTTTCTCCCTACACCCGAGCTGCTCAGATCAACACTGCAGGCTCTAGAAGGAGCTCTGACTGGCCTATGATGCAGAAGAAATTTTTTGTGAGAAAAAAATAGAATTAAGATAGACTCAGTACCCAGGGCAATTTCTACCATCCATCACCGGAACAGGCTTCTGAACACACTGAGAGGCAAGAGGAATGGGACCAAAAGTGGGGTGAGAACAGCTGCACTCAAGGAGGAGACAAATTAAACTCGTGCTGGGAGTTTTCGTCCCATCTATTTCGGGCCCTGAAGGAAGTGCTCCCAGAACACTTCCCATTTTCAAGGGCCAGTCTAAGCTCAAGTTGGTTGGACAGAACTAGAATTGATACCATCACAGCTCCTGTCTGGGCTTCAAAGTCATTAGAGGGCTCAGCTGAGACTCCTCAACCTCAGCAAAGTATATTTTATGACTTGGTTTGCATAATGGTAATTTTGTTTCTTTTCCTTTTTATGAAGTGATACAGGCACGTGAAGAAATTCAAGAACGTAAGTATAGCAATTAAATGTGCTTCTCCAGCCAGCATGGCTCAGTGGTTGAGCGACGACCTATGAACCAGGAGGTCACGGTTTGATTCCCGGTCAGAGCACATGCCTGGTTGCAGGCTCGATCCCCAGTGTGGGGCGTGCAGAAGGCAGCCGATCAATGATTCTCTTTCATCACTGATGTTTCTATCTCTCTCTCTCCCCCTTCCTCTCTGAAATCAATAAAAATATATATATTTTTAAAAAGAACTTCTCCTGTCCCCTTTTCTGCATGTGCAATGGCAACTCTCCCATCCTTGGCTTTTTTTTTTTTTAAATAAATTTTTATTGTTGAATATTACGTATGTCCCTTTTGGCTTTATTTTTATTAATCCCTCTCAATACATAAACTATCAGATGTAATATACAAACATTTTTAGATGTAGTATATAAACATTGTGTAGGCACCTTTTCCCTTACATAGCTGAAATTGTACTATAGTACTACAGTGTGTATGTACTATACATACACACACTTTACAGCTTCTCTCTGGCATATCTGCATTGCCAACATCACTACCCTTATGCTTAGGGGCCATAATTAAGTAAAATAAGGGTTACTTGAACACAAGCACTGTGCTACCATGACAGTTAATCTGATAGTTGAGATGCATAAATATTGTGGATATGCTCGACAAAGAGATGATTCACATCCGGGGCAGGACAGAGAGGGATAGTGAGATTTCATCACACTACTCAGAATGGCATGCAATTTAAAACTTATGAACTGTCTATTCCTGGAATTTTCCATTTAATATTTTCAGACCGTGGCTAGCCATGGATAACCAAAACTTCAGAAAATGAAACCACAAATAAGGGGGGACTACTTTATATAATCTTGTATCCTGCTTAGCATCTTTCCATGTCAAAAAGTTAAAGCATTTTTCTATGACTATGTAATATTCCATTCTATCAATGGCTGTATCATCAATTACACATTCATTATTCTGATTAATGAAAACATTTCCCACATTTTGCTGGTATCAACAGACACTGTGATGAACATCTTTATCCCCAAGTTGGCAGGATTATGGCCTAATGAATAACTGAGTCAAAGTGAGCTAACATTTTGGGAGTCCTGTAACAAGTTGTTAAACTACCACAAAAAGAATATTGTGCTATTGTTCTGAAGTAGTGGTTCTCAAACTTCTGGCAAAACTATTTTTTGTAATTAAGTCCTACTTAGAACCTAAACATAAGCAAAGAAAGCAATGTCTGGTTCCTCAGACAATGTGGACATTTCCTGTTCTGCAGAGAACTTCAGTCTGTGAAGTCTCCCCAAAACATCTCCTGGGAGTCGCGAGCCTGGTCTGAAACCAAGCTCTACCTGACAGCTCGAGTGGACACCTGGTTGGCACACTCCTGCCCAGATGCAGCTCTGCTGCTGGCAAGCTCATGGCTTTACTGCCATGGTCTGCATTTGCCCAAAGTGCTCTTAGGGAAGAGGAGCTGCTCTGAGTCTTTCCTCCCAGGTACCCGTCATTGGCCTGGTGTTTACCAAGCTCCTGTCAGGGATGGGTCTGGCACTTTAACCTGAAATGAGCCCCATTATCTTCATTTTATGGAGGACGAAACAGATGCTCAGAAGGCCTAAGGGACTTGTTCAAGGATACACGGTGCTACAGCTGGGACTCAAGCCCAGCTCTTCATGGCACCAAATGCTACGCTGGCAGAGAAGAATGAGGAGAGACTGCGGTGGAAGCCGTTGTAAGAGTACCAGGCCATCCGGGGTCACTAATGAAGAACTTACACTGATGAAGATTCACTCTCCCTGCCAGGCACTAGATGAACTTGTAGTTCTAATGAGAAGGCCTCCTGGCTATACAGCAACCTGCTGTCACTGGTCTGGCCTTGCTATTGTCTACGTGGCTCCAAGATGAGGAGACAAGGTCCAGCACAGGACTAAAGGCAGAGGCTGGTGCTGAGAAGCAGGAGAGAGGTTTCAAGGAGAAAGAGTATACTTCCTGCTGTTTGTTGACAGTCTTACACTGCTGTTGGGGCTTCTTGGACTCCCTGGCTGAACAAACAGGTATAGCCAGCTAGCTTAACTGTTGCCAACTGGACCAATACAGCTTTAGTACCCAGTGCATAGAATACTGCCCTCGTCATAGGTCGCACACATGTCTGTGCGCCGGAGACAAATGCAGCTAGCTAGCTCTATGCACACCAAAGTGCTCTGCAACATGGTCAGGCCACCACCAACTGCGTACAACTACGTGCAACCGGGGGTATAGCAATGATATTCTCCTACTACCAGAAGAGCCTTGCAGAAAGGGTCACGTCCGCTGGGGCCAGACTACATGATTTGTTGGTGACCCTGAGTACTCACAATGTCATTTTCTACCGTGCCTGCACAGAGCACATTGATAAACATGATCTCATCTAATCTTCACAACAAA